CGAACGTGCTCATAAACGTAAACCAACATGTTCGTGAACGTGTTTGTGAACATGTTCGTTTACGTTAACGAACATAGAACGTGTTCGCAAACGTTAACAAACAATAATAAACGTTTAACAAACGAACACGAACAAGATTTTCAAAAACCTTGACAAACAAATACGAACACGAATACTCCAAAATTCTTAACAAATGAACAAAAATAACCTTTGTTCGTTTATGTTCGGTTCGTTAACAGCCCTATGCTTAGAGTCTACATGCAAGAGTAAAAAAAAAGGTTAAAAACTTGAGGATTGATGGAACCACTGGCAATTTACCTCCTCACATCTCTTGGGTAAAGATTCTTGAGAGTTTAGAATTAATCTAATTTATCAGAAAAAAATAAAAATTTACTATTTAAATAGAAACGGCGACGTATCAATGTAACGAACTACTCCAGGCAGGACTGGAGTGGACCCCACACCAGAAAATCAAACTACCAAACTCTGTCGTTCAACAATGGAGTCCCAGCAATGGCGGCAGCCACCCATCTGCTCTATATTATACTTATATGAGCACACCTTATTCTCGTATATATATACACACACACACATCTCGCTGTAAGATCCAACATCGCAAATCCTTTCTGTTCTCTCTCTCTCTATCTCTATTCCTCGCTTTCTCTGCCTGTATCCATCCTCTTCGGAAATCGGAATCAATGGCGGAGGAGAAGAAATGGGTGTTGATGGTGACAGCCCAGACGCCGACGAACATAGCCGTGATTAAGTACTGGGGGAAGAGGGACGAGACCCTAATCCTCCCCATCAACGACAGCATTAGCGTCACTCTCGACCCCGCCCACCTCTGCACCACCACCACCGTCGCCGTCAGCCCTGCCTTCCAACAAGATCGCATGTGGCTCAACGGAAAGGTACCAAATTTATACTTCTCAAAGTTTTTTTTTTTTTTTTTTTTTTGGGAAATCTTAAATTTTTAGTACCCCGGACTTGCTTGTATTTTGAAATTACAGTTCTTATTCCCTATTTTCCCTACTTGCCCACAAAGGCGAAATTTCCTCGGCCCCAAGTCCTCACATCCCGGCTCACAAGGAGTCCACCACATTAGGTGTAACTCCACCACATCGGGTGTAACTTTCACACTGTGGCTATGACTAATGTCTGTGCCCACAAGGAGTTCACCCTACCCTACACTAGTGCCCACAAAGAGTCCACCATACATTAGTGCCTGCCCACAAAGAGTCCAACCATACTGGGTGTAACTTCTATATTGCGACTGTCAGGGCTTGATGCCTTGATCATGTGTCCTTGTCCGTAATCTACCACTTAAGAACCAACTGAGCCGCCCATGCGGGCCCCTATTTTCCCTACTCTTTGTGAGTAAGTGTGGTTTACTCAAGTGGAAGCTCTAAGTTCAACCACTCAAGTCTTGATGAAATGGGGGCATGTGTGTGGTGGGATTTGGTCTATTACTCTAGCCATGGACTGGAGACTTGATCATTTATTCCCATTTGGGTTATTGAAACCATGGAGTTGTGGGTTGAAAGAAACTTTCAAAACACAACTTATAATTGTAATGCTGGTTTTCTTGTATTGTTCAGGAAATACCACTCTCTGGAGGCAGATATCAGAATTGTCTAAGGGAAATTAGATCTCGTGCTTGTGATGTTGAAGATGAGAAGAAGGGTATCAAGATCTCGAAAAAGGATTGGGAGAACCTGCATCTGCATATTGCTTCCTATAATAATTTCCCTACTGCTGCGGGCTTGGCTTCTTCTGCTGCTGGTTTTGCCTGCCTCGGTATTGTGCCATTGTCTCTTCGTTTTACACCTTGCTATAACTTCGGCTATATGAAATCTATAATCATGGCAGAGTATTTCTCGTTATTCTAATAAAATGGAGGATCTTCAAATAGTTACTAATATAATAAACACAAGAACCACAAATGAAACTTGTAAAAGAATTACTGTATAATTTAGGAATTAATGAGTTAAATTTACTGGTAATTAAAACAGGAAATAATGGCATTGACTTTTTGTTAACATCTTGTGTGTGGCAAATTTATTCACAAAGTTCCTGAGGTGAACATATACAATGCATGCTATGTTGGAAGATGATGGTGTTTACATAGCTAGTTCTAAAACTTTCACCTTTCATGTCATTATCTTGAATCAATGCCAATAAAGATGATGATTTTCTTCATGGCAATATTGAAAATGGGGTTTTTCATCTTAACCTGGGATTTTACTACCTGTTCTGGTATCTTTGTCGTATGACTCTAAGTTGAGTACATTAAATTTTGCCTCCTAATGCAGTTTTTGCCCTTGGAAAGCTAATGAATGTGAAAGAAGATAATAGTCAACTTTCTGCTATAGCAAGGTAATTTTTCTTTTTGCTGTGTGTGTGTGGTGTTTTTAATTTTTATTTTGACAGTAATGATCAGATCAGAGAATTCATTTACTGGATTTCTGTTTCCAGACTTTAAATTTTTGCTTAACAGAGCTAATTTCGATTGTTTTTTCCATGATGATATTTCATACTCTCTCTGTCTCATTTTACCTGTCATGTTTACTATTCATTGGTCAAACCAACTCTTTCTATTTTTACTTTTTTTTTAGTATTTTTTAATTTGATATTTTTTGTGTTAATAGTATTTTGATATAGTTTTTAAATATATAATAAAATTTAAATATTTAATATTATAAAAAATTGAATTAGCCTAGTTAACCGAACCAAACACATAAAATGGGACGGAGGTAGTATTAACTATTAACTATGCTTGGGAAGCAAGCAAGATGACAACTTTATTTATCCATAATCATATGCAGGCAAGGTTCAGGAAGTGCTTGCAGAAGTCTATTTGGAGGATTTGTTAAGTGGAACATGGGAAAAGTAGGTTTGGGTTTGGTTTCTAAATTTGAAGTATGTAGCATCTTTCAAGAAAGGTTTCCATTGATCTATCTACTCATTATTAAAATACATAACCCTTATTAATGCATGAAGGATGAAAATGGAAGTGATAGTCTTGCTGTTCAACTCGTGGATGAGAAGCACTGGGATGAGTTGGTTATTATCATTGCAGTGGTATGTTACTATTTTTCTTAGAATTGGCTATTGTTTGATTTATTATTGTATTAGACTATAAAAGAAACCGAAAAAAAGGTTCTTAGGGTCAAAGAAAATAGACCCTTCTGCTTTATGTTCTCAAATTCTCCAGCTTTCCAAAAAACTAAAGAAATTCTCCGGTTAGTAAACGGGTCAACGATGTTACAATGAGGCAAGCTTACCTCATGTACTAACTACTAACTACTAAGTAATCAATTTGGGATTTAAGATCTTGTTTACTTTTTTTTTTTTTTTTTTTTTTTTTTTTTTTTTTTTTTTTCTGCCAATGATACCATCCCTTGTTTGAGTGTTTCAGGTAAGTTCAAGGCAGAAGGAGACAAGTAGCACTAGTGGAATGCGTGAGACTGTTGAAACCAGTCCACTTATACAGCACAGAGCAAAGGTATTCACTTCCACTCTCATTTATTTTGGGTCATAGTTCCTTAAAACTGATCATCACCCTTTCTAATTGCGGGTTGAATGCTGAAGTTCTCACTTTTTTGATGAGTTCTTATAGGAGGTAGTTCCAAAACGCGTCATTCAAATGGAAGAAGCGATTAAAAACCGTGATTTTCCAACTTTTGCTCACCTAAGTTGTGCAGACAGCAACCAGTTTCATGCAGTCTGCCTGGACACTTCTCCTCCTATATTCTACATGAATGATACATCTCATAGGCAAGTTTTATCTTCCCCCCTTGTCTTTTTCTTCTTTCTTTCTTTCTTACTTTAGGTATTACATTTGATGATCATTCCCAGGTAGAATTTCATACTTTTTAAGCTTAAAATCACCTTAAACAAAAAAGGCGTGGATTTAAAACTAGAAGATATGTCTCACCTTTCAGGATAATTAGCTGCGTCGAGAAATGGAATCGGTCAGAAGGAACTCCACAGGTCTGTCCTTTCCTTTCCATTTCAGACCATCTGCTTGACTCACTGTCTAATTGGCATCTCAAATAGTTTAGATAAAACTTTCTAGAGATGTACAGTTTGTTAATATTACAGTTTATTCTGAAAACATTAACATATAACAACTATAAATTGTAGTTCTGTATAGGCTTCGCCCTCTCTTATCCGTATATTGAGCAAGGCTTCAAGAAACTAATCAGATGCGACTAGCTAGTCAAAGATTGTCCTTGGTATTCTCTTAGAAAGAATGTGTCAAATGCTTGTTGATTCATGCAAGGAACTGGATGTTGGACTTTCTCTAAGTTTCTCTTCACAGTTCATACAAATTCTTTTAAGTTGCCTGATGCGAATATGTGATACTATACCAAACTTTAATGAGCCATGGAGCACAATTATTATACCCTTGTTTGTTATGGTTGATGGTTTTGTTTATCGCCTTCTATTCTCTGCAATTAGCTTTTTTCAACATTGTGTTAATGCACATTTAAAAGCTCTACTTATCAGAAACATAATGGCCTGATTGACTACAAAGCTAATAATAATGGTTTTTATTTTTTAATGAATATTGCAGGTTGCTTACACTTTTGATGCCGGGCCAAATGCTGTTATGATTGCTCGCAATAGAAAGGCTGCCACTCTCCTTCTTCAAAGGCTGCTGTTTCACTTCCCTCCAAACTCAGACACTGATCTAAGCAGGTATTCATTCTATCCTGTTGAACATCAGACACCTGTTAATTTTAGTGGTGAAACACATGAATCAGGCAGGGTATAGGCTGAAATGAGCTTGAAGCAGCTTACATTTACTCATATGTACATTATTTATTGATAGATGCATTCTTGCTGTCTGGTTTTTTCTCCAGCTATGTCATAGGCGATAACTCAATACTAGATGATGCTGGCATTAAGGATTTGAAGGACATAGAAGCACTGCCTCCACCTCCCGAAGTTAAGGATAATGTTCCTGCTAAGAACAAGGGTGATGTTAGTTACTTCATCTGCACAAGACCAGGAAGAGGTCCAGTTTTGATTACCGACGAGAATCAAGCTCTCCTCAACCCTGAAACAGGGTTGCCCAAGTAAAGCACAGAGTTTCTGTTCTTTTATCATAAGCGCATTCAATCTTGTCAAAGCTTCAGAAATTGAAACTTGATGCTGCTTTTACCTCTTCTTCGCCTGCAGTTTACAATTCCTTTCATTCAGTACACTACATATAGAAAATAGCTTGTACTCCTTGAGAAACATGTTACTTTTAGAATTTAAAGAAAATTTGCACTGGCAATTTCCTAGTGATTACATAAGATGTTCAAGGTGCTGCTCTTATATTGCTTGAAACTCTGTGCATACACAAATCACATGAAATATCCTACAGTCAACATGACCCATGGTGAGATGACAAAATTGACTATACAACCAAAGAGAAATGCGATCTCTACACTTTCAGGTCATGCGTTACTGTATTCTCCAAAAACAAGCAGATACTAAACATATTTCACCAGGCTTGCAACAAGTAATAGAGCATAGGTATTCTCCTTTGCAAAAGCTGTTTCAGAACCACCAGAGATGGAGGAGAGAATTTGTATTGCAACAGAATTAAAGCATATAACATTACATGCAGAAGCCTGCAGAACATAAGTTCTCTGTACAAACTTTCCTGAAAGTTAGCCATTTGTACCCATAACTATTATGAGCAGATATTAAACTAAAGTGAACTGAGGTGAGAAATAACTCAATAAGGGAGAGAAATCAATTGGGATTTAATTGAGATTATGTTATTAGTCATTAAGTGAGATTTGCTTTGATACTACATTTCCTATAATAAATTATTAATTGCTCTGAATCCCACTCTTCCTTGAATTTCCCCGAGACATCAGGCAAATTCTTTCCCTTTAAGCTTTGGTTTCCTGATCTTTGAGGAGATGTGAGGTGAAGCAGATAAGGAAGAAGAGGTGGTCAAAGAAATCACAAATTGCAGATTCCAGAACCCCAACATTATGATACTAGCAATCACTTAAAACCACCTTTGGCTTGCCAGACTATGTAGTGTGGTAAGTGGTAACCAGTAACTAGAAACTCTCAGGTTGTTACAACTTAATGTATTTCAAACAATCAAACCATGCCAGCCCACTTCTTAAATTCCTCAACATATTCAATCCTCTTTTTTTGCACCTCATTTTTAGCATCAAATACTTTCATGTGTCGATAAATGTCCTTGTGAAGCTTCAGGAATTCATATTTGTATATCCACTTGTCCAGGTACATACTGCTTTCCTTCATAAGACCAATGATATCCATCACCCTCTCAAAATAACCACCTCGAAGAAAATTCAACAATAGTAATTCATATAAATCACTGTCTCTCAACTCAATACCATTTTCTATGTTCCTCTTAATATCCCCCCATAAGATTGTAATTTCACGATACATTCCCATGGAAGAATAGCCATGAACTAGATTGATAAATGTTGAGACAGTTGGTTGGATCTTCATCTTTTGCATTTTTCTGTAGGCCCTTTTAGCATCTCCTATCATTTGGGCCTTCATGAAGAAGTAGATAGAAGAATTAAACTTATAGACCACAGAAGGAGCCTCTTTTTCGTCTTCTCTCATTTCCCGAGCAATAAAGTCAGCCAAATCTGATTTTCCAGTAGAAGTTAGTTTTTTCAAATCATATGTTCCTTCATTTTCTATCTTGCTCATAGATGCTGAAACCATCTGCTCAGCAGCATTTGAGAGACCACCAGCTTTCCCCATTTGTTTTAGTACTACATCTGCTTCTCTAAACATCTTTAGGTTGTGATACGCTGCAAAAAGAGACATGTATGAACTACTGGATAGTCGATTTCCTTCCATCTCCAAGTCATCCAGAATATCATGGGCAGTTTCAAGCCATCCAAGACAAATACAAGCATCAATCACATCATGGAGAATGTTGCTAGAACATGGTGAAGCCTTCTGGATTCTACTTAGAAGCTTTGACAACTCACTAATTCTCCCACATCTCTTGTAGTGTAGCATCAGCTTGGCCAGTGCTTTCGTGCTAAGAACAAGTCTCCCATCTTTACATGTGATGAACCTGTGATTGCATCCCAGATTAACAATGGTATCTTGCTTTAGTAAATCTGGCAAAACACGTAGTGAAAACCCCATCCTAAGATGGTGAGATCCTAGTGGGATGAGGCAGGGTTTCACTGGTTCCATCCTGTCATCCGATATTTGGACAGATACTAAAGGTCTATACATATCCAATAAAAGTTCAAAAGCAGCATCAATATCATCAAATTTGAAATGCAAGCTCAACAGACTTTCATAAAACTGTTGATAGTGACACATCAGCTTATAGGTTGACACCTGATCTATATGCTCCTTAAATTTGTTTAGTTCATCTCGCATACCATTCTTCTCATAAATAAGGGAGATAATCACAATAGTTTGCACATCAGCTATGACTCCAACTTGCGCCATCAGCTCAATAATGCTCTGGCCTTTAAAAGATGACCCAAACCTTGCACAAGCATCAAGAACAAGATTAAAAATCACGGTATCAGGTTTTGTGCACTTCATGCAAGCAGACTTGTTTGTGCTGAATTGTTGAAACATATCACAAATCTCAACCAAAACATTTGACGCCAGGACCGTTCCAGTCTTTGTTTTCACTAAATGAAGAAATATCATCTCCAAAATATTAGATGGTGGTAACCTCCTTTTCAGAAGCATCTGTCTAAGAACAGCAGATGCCCGGATAGGCATTTGAGCTCTTGCTAAGGACAGGGAGAGCTTAGTCATTAAGTCTGGCAGAAGTAACCCAAATTTATCCTTTTGAATACAAATGACTAAATCACTTGCCTTTCGAAGCCATTTGGAATTAGATGAATAGGACAGTTCAGTTACCAATCTACTCAGAAGAGAGTGATCGGGAAAACCATAGAGGCGCTTGAAATCTTTGTAAGTATCCCAAGCCTCATCCAGTTTGTGATGCATCAAAGCGATTTCAAGCCTTCTCAGTAAAACAGCACGGGAGGATCCTTCCCAACATAACCTCTCCGGTTTTATATTAGCAGATAAAGGCTTAGAACACCAATTTTCACTGCGCTTATCACATTCATATGAGAAGGATAACTTACTCGTCATGTATTTAAGAGCATAACTTCTGTTTGAACTCAGTTTCAAAGCAATATTATTGGTACTTGAAGCGACACCAAATACTGAAGAGTAATATCTTATCAGAATATAGTGTGATATAGCTTTTCTTAATGTGAGTGCCATTCAAGAAAACCATTTAAAGACACTGTGCAGCAGTATTGCAAAAGCTAAACTCTCTTGCCAGCAGCATTTTGGTGCTTGAACCTACCCAGATAATCAACAAATAGCAGTAGATGAAAACTGATTAGTTCTAAGAACCTTAAAATGGAGTGAATTATAATCAATCGTTGGCAATTATAAGATCTTGGAAATTGAAAATATAATATCATAGGATACCATTGTTTGTAGAAAATTAAGATTATTTCCATGTAGGGATAGAAATAGGCTAGGCCGAGCGGGGCTTTAAAAAATTAGGCATGAGCCTATATGAAGACTTTTTTTTTTTTAGGCTCAAGCCTGAGCCTACAATTGCCTAACCTGGTCTGAAGCCTTTTTAAAAGCCTATTTGATATGTAGGGCATTAAAAAGGCTTCAAAGTAGTCCTAATTAGGCTTTGAGCCTATTTAAGACCTTATAGGCTTTAAGCCTTTTTAAGGCTTATGTATTTGTACAAAAAAATTAAAAATAAACCTAATACAATAATACAAAACTAATATATAACCACAAATTCAATGCACGGTCTAGAAATGACATAACAATCAATCAATAACCACAAAGCACAAGTTTATAATACCAAAACACACACACACACACAAATATCACAATTTAGCTCAAAGTATACCTAATTTGGTAATAATAAACCTATGATTACAATAAAATATACAAAAAATTAACTAAAAAGTATTTCACATCTCACACGTGAGACAATCTCATACAGTACTTATTCTACAAATACAAGTGGGTAGCTGCTGGGTGGATCTCATCTTATAACAAGTTATAGAAATGGAAGAGAGATAGACGGGCTTTACCGAAGTAGGTAGAAATCATTATTTGGTTGCATTCATATCATATTGCTATATCTCAATCTGATGCTACTTGAAGTTTCATCAAATTCCAGGAATCCATCCCTAGTGGATGGAAAGAAATGAACTTCCTCATCTCTGTTTCTGTGTATTTCAAATACACAAAGTATCATCTGTCGGGGATGGAAATGAGCATACACCTCCAATACTTCTCCAACCATTGTTGCCACCTCAAATTCAATTTTTTCATATAATTTAGACTAAATATATTTTGGTTCCTTTACGATCCAAGCCACCAGTTGTTTTGCTTCTCACACTAACACCAATTCCATCGAAGTAATTATGTTCAAAACCACTGTTAATGATTTTAAAGGATGTATGCCTCAAAAAGTTTTGGAATATAGCAATGTACTAAATTTTCAAGGACTTGAAGCGAAATCTGGACAGTATTATCTTCAGAATGTGCCTATGTCAAGTTTAAACTAATAACAGCCGCAGGCAACAGCTTCAGCCGCAACCGCAGAACTGCAGAAGCGACCAGCCGCAGCGTCGCGACCTGCTGCGGTGCTGCCTGGCGCCTGCTACAGTGCTACTGCCAACTGCATCAGTATATTATATATCACATGTTCACAACTCAACTACGAGATTGCCAGTCTACTACGAGCTTACGATTCCCACGAAGGTACAAACGAATAGGAGATACCGAGATAGCCAGATAGTTCATGGGTGAAAGACATACCTGTCAGTGCCGGAGTCGGTCGCCGCCCCAGTCTGGACTCTGGAGTCGAAGATCCGCAGACGATGTCGTCCTCGTCGCCGTGAATCAGCGATTTTAATTTTGAGAATTAGGAATTAGAATGGGGCTAAGATTTACTAATAGATAAATATACTTAGGGTTATTTTGTAAATATATAAAAGTATATTAGGTAAAACTGTAATATATAACTAATATTTGTATCCGTGCGATGCACGGCCATATTGTTAAAGTATAATTATAAATTAGGAATAAGGGACAAATAGGTCATTGAACTGTACACAGTAATACAATTAGACCACTTAACTTATAGAAATAACAATTGAGTCCCTAAACTAACTAATTTCATGCAATTAGGTAAATTTACAGATTTTTGCATGTTAATAACAGGTCACCCAAAATTTAAAATATTTTTTAAAAATTATTATTAAAAATAATAATTTTAAAATTAAAAAAAAAATATTCTCATCTTCGCCAAAGACGAGTTTCTTCGTCTCCATGGCCGGAGACGAAGAGACTCTTCGTCTCCATGGCTAGAGACAAAGAGACCCTCCGTCTCCGACCATGGAAACGAAGAGACTCTTCGTCTCCAGCCACGGAGTTCTTCGTCTCCGACCATAAAGACGAAGAAACCTTCTTCGTCTCTGGCCGGAGACGAAGAAACCTTCTTCGTCTCTGGCCGGAGACGAAGAAACTTTCTTTGTCTCCAGTGGAGACAGGTAACGTTTTTCATTTTATTTTAATATATTATTTTTAAATAATAATTTTTAAAAAATATTTTAAATTTTAGGTGACCTGTTACTAACCTGTAAAACTTGTAAATTAGACTAATCGAATGAAATTGGTTAAGTTTAGGGACCTAATTGTTATTTTTTTAAGTTCAATGGCCTAATTGCATTATTATGTGCAGTTCGATGGCCTATTTGATGCTTATGCCTTACACTAATTTTTTTACGCGCATTGCGCGATTGAATAATGTCCAAATTTTATTTTTATTTTTAAATAAGTACTTTAAAGTATATCAAGACAAGATTATATTGGAATTGTTCATGCATAGATAATTGAATGTTGAATTTGCGTATTTGAATAGTAATTCTAAGTTTACAAATGCAAGATAATATAGTCAAAATTGATTATAATTGTCAATAAAAAATAATTGGATAGGTATGGTTGAAACCAAATACGAGATATAAGGGAGAGCAAATAAAAATTAGGGCATAAAATATTAAATATATACTAATATTGAAGAGCTAACTGTTGATTGCCTGCGTGGTAGTTTCTCACTTCAATTTGTTGTGTGATTTGAATACTTTTTTGTCAATAAATCTCCCAAGTAGTTAATATGATTGGCTTAATTATATTTTTTATTTTTTTAAAACAATTATTATTATTATTATTATTATTATTATTATTATTATTATTATTATTATATGTATACCCTTAGGTCATTTTACATATTAATCTAAACAGTTAATTTTTTCAAATATCTTTTTACCAACGGTTGATATAATTCACTGGTCAAATCCGTAAATATAATCCGCAAACTGCAGATTGTCAAACAAGGACATTGCGAGATAGTTCTCACTTCAATTTGTTGTGTGATTTGAATACTCTCTTTGTCAACAAAATCCCTCTAAGTAGTTAATATGATTAGCTTTATTAATTATATTTTTTTAACTTTTTCATGGTATTAATAAAATACTTGGTAAATAAATATATAGCATTATTTTGTATTATAACTTTGATATTTAATTAAAAAATAGTGCACAAAAAAAAATAGACAATGTAATGAATATAATCAATTGATGAATTTGAATGTAAAGAATTTTTACATTGGAGAAAAATAAAGACAATATAACTAATAAAATTATTTCTCTTAATTAATTTATTGATAATGATTTTTTTTTAATAAAGACATTGTAGGGACAATTAGGGATGGCAACGGGGCGGGGCGGGGGCGGGGAATGGGGTCCCCGTCCCCGTCCCCGAAATGTCCCCCCATTCCCCGTCCCCGCCCTGTTCCCCGGCGGGGATGGGGAATTATTCCCCATCCCCGTCCCCGCGGGGATTTTTCGGGGACGGGGAATCCCCGCCCCGTTTTGATTCATGCTTACTTTTTTTTTTTTTTTTTTTAATTTTAAAAAACACACATAATATAATATGCATTCTTAACAAAACTAGAGAAACACAGTTTTGTTAAGGAAAAATCTTAAATCGCAAAGATGAAAAAAAAAATCATCTACTAATACCATGAGAATATGCAGAGATAGAGAATGAAGAATATAATACATTGATGTTCAATAATAATTTAAACAAATAAACATAGCCTATTTATACAAGATATATGTACGGTATTACGGTAACAATGAACATAAAATGTATGTACCTAAACTAGAATACTAATTACATGGAAATTCAAGAATATGATTAAATATATACAAGAGAGATATTAATTTATATATAATATTAATATTATTAGTCAGGGATTCGGGGATGGGGCGGGGATCGGGGATCGGGGTCGGGGCCGGGGCGGGGAATGCCCTCCCCGTCCCCGTCCCCGTCCCCGGCGGGGATTGGAAAATTCCCCCCATCCCCGCCCCCGTTCCCCGAAATAAATCCCCGAACCCATCCCCGTCGGGACGGGAAACGGTTTTCTCCATCGGGGGCGGGTTCAATTGCCATCCCTAGGGACAATGTAGCGAATATAATCAATTGATGAATTTGAATGTAAAGAATTTTTATATTGGAGAAAAATAAAGACAATATAACTAATGGAATTGTTTCTCTTATTTAATTTATTAATAATGAATAATTTTTTTTTTGAATAAAGATATTGTAGACACATAATCTAAATTAAAGAAATGCATATGTATTTTTTTTTAGCACTATATTATTATTTTAATAATTTAATAAGAGTAGAATAGAGTACTAAACTACTAATTATGCCAACTTCGATTGGGATGGTGTTCGAACTAAACATTTTCTTATTGAAAGCAATGAGTAAGTTAACGGTGAACTAATATAAATTAACGGAAAATATAATATTTAACGGAAAATTATATTCATTAAGGATAAATTAGGAAATCTTAAGGAAAAATTAAAATCTGATTAATATGAGCCATTCATTTGATTAAAAAATTTGACCGTCATTTTTTCTACCCATTATAAGCCTAACTCTCCTGGCTCTTATTAGTATAGTAGAAATTATTAAAGGTTCAAAACATAGTAAATAAAAGTAAAAATATTTGCTAACATTAAACAGAAATAAAATTACAAATTATTAAAAACCTTCTTTGTAAACAACATTTTTACACAGGCAGCCATGTGTTAGCACAGGCTACTGTTTCTATGTCTGTCCTGGGTCCTTAGGACTCTATTCCTCCGGGTTGTATCTCGGGGTTGATATGATTTTGGCTTAATGAAATTTCCGTTTTCTTCAAAAAAAAAAAAAAAACATTTTCAGTAGTGTTTAAAAACTTTAGGTTCACCACAAATTAAAACCTTAAGACCATCGGGATTATTAACCCTCGAAATTGCTACGTACAATTGGTCATGGTTAAAAACTGTTTTTTTAGTAACAAACCGACATGTGATAATGTCTGACCTTAACTTTTGTTCATTGTCATGGCGTACATAACTGGTGACGGTAAATATGTTACCGAAAATATAATATTAGAATAACGGATCGTTATATTGCAAGTGTTTGAGTACAAAATAGTGAGCGTGTTTTAGTACAGAGTATTGAGCCTGTCTCCCTAGCTGAGGAGAGGTCATTTTTATATCAAGTCCTAACGGTAATGTCATGATGAGAAATAATGAGGAGCCATTATTTCTCTCTCTTCAATGGCACAATGGCCCTGTGGTAACGTTCCATCCATTAGTAATCTGCCCGTTGGAGTTCTGCCCGTTGGGTTTCCATGTGGTGCCGGGTCAGGTACCCGTTTGACAACCTGGGTCAGGTGTTGGCACCATTACTCCGTCACCAGCCCCCTACTCCCGAGTCTGGGATGTGTTTGAGCTGGCTTGGGAGTAAAACCGAGTCAAAGATTCATTTTTTTCTGCTGACCAAGGCGGGTTTTGGCCTACGTTGGCCGAAGCCGCATCGGCCAATTTCTGACCGAGGTGGTTCTCGGCCTTCGCCATTGTTTTTTTTTTTTTTTTTTGTTTTTTACCAAAGCCCCGTAGGTTGGCCGAGACGGGCCTCGGCCAATGTCGGCCGAGGCGTGCGCTTCGGCCGATTTCGGGTGAGGCGTCGCTAGGCGTGTGCATCGGACGGATCAGATCGGATCGGATGGCTATTCCGTTCATCCGATCGGATTGCGGATTGCAATTTTGAACTCCTATCCGCTTTTTTTGTAACTAAAACCCTATCGGATATGCTATGTCGGATTTTGGATTATACGGATCGGATGTCGGACTTAATTCGGATTTGGAAAAGGTCATTAATAATTGAAAATTAAAAACTGAAACAACATAATATTATTAATTTAATATGATAATATCTAATCTACCAAGTCTCTATTAACAAAGTAAGTAATAACTAATAAGTTAACAAAATAAAACATGCAACAACTTTTTAATGTACAGTTTGCAAAGCTAAATAATTTAAGTTTACAAACAAAATTGCAAAAAGTAAACCAAAAATACAAAATTAATCTAAGTTTAAGTGTTTAACTTTCAAAACATCAAAAATTCGAAGTTAATCACTTAAACTTCAGCAATCATTCCAATCTAGGCCTTTTCAGCAAATCTGCTGACATCAATCATCATTTCTACACTTCTTCCTGTTAATATGAAAACTTAACACAATATTAGATTATTAGACAACATATGTAGTAAACAGCTAACTAAGTAACAATATTATGCTGTAGGGACATTAGGCTAATAGCCTTATAGGCTCAGATTGTAATTTTCCATTTCAAGTAAGGATAGTGGCAAATTGCTCAAATGTGTTATAATAGCACATGAGCAACATGGCAACACTATACCATTTGTTCAGGCAGTGGTGGAAGCATCATCATTGCCAAAAAAACAAGTAATAAATAATAATGCATTAAACTGAACAGAGATCAATTCAGAGGATGAGAGGAATACCAGCAGAGATCAAGAATGGATGTAATGGGACATCAGTACTGAATAGTGAATACTGCTCAACTCTAAGTGGGGCAACATTTCTATAATATAATTATAGAAAGTTGCCAAGCCACTTAGACTGTTAAGACTCTTAGAGTTTCATCTTGTGAAGGCCAACAGCAAACAACAGTATAACACCATAACATATAAAGATAAATAATTAGTTAAACAAATAATAATTATTGAAAACATTACAGGAATGGATGACAACATTGATGGTAGAGTAGTTGCAGCTCCAGTGGGTAACTCTGCAAAACAGTTAAGTATAAGTAATTAGTTCTAGACTTACAAAAAGTAAAAAAGAAATGATTTAAAAAAATATATTTACCTTTCTTCAATTTTTCAACCTCATCTAAATTTTTCTCAAGTGTGATTGGCTGATTATGTAACCTCAACCAATCTTGGGTACACAGTAGGGCTTCCACAATTTTAGTAGTCAAGGAACTCCTAAATGCATCAAGCACCCTTCCACTTGTACTAAATGCACTCTCAGATGCAACTGTGGAAATAGGAACTACAAGCACATCTCTAGCCATTTTGGAGAGAATAGGAAATCTCTCACTATGACTCTTCCACCACTTTAGAACATCAAAATTCACAGATTCATCATCCTCAACCAGATTTTCACTCAAGTAAATTTGTAGCTCTGTCTGCTTACTGTTTCCATCACCACTCTCCAATCTCTCTTTTTTTTTTTTTTTTTTTTTTTTTTTTTTTTTTTTTAAGTTCACTCTTCATCCTTGAGACATGCCTACCAACTATACAAGTAGTAGGCTGAGACTGGACAGGTTGGTTAGAGGATGAACTGTCAAAGTATGTAGCTGCATAGTCATTATATAATGCAACCATTGCAGTTTGGACCTTGGCAAAACATTCTTTGCCTTTGACATCTCCATAAAACTGGACAAACTGGTGAGGCATGTACTCCTCCTTATCTCTGGGGTCCAGAATATTGGCAAAGAAAATGAGATGGTTCATTTTTTCTGGATCTCCCCAGTATTTATCAAACTTGTCTTTCATTTTTGTTCCCATTGCCTAATAAATACAGAAACTCAGAAAGCATAAACATTTAAAAACACATACAACTTACAAGTTATACACAATTACACAAATAAACACAAGTGTTTTACCTTTTCAGTATTCTCAGCTTTAGTCATATCTTCCAGCATGCAACTTAGATCAGAGATCTCAGAGAAGAATGTGTTAGAAGTGACATAAAGAGAACCAGATATTCTCACTGTCATTTCATAAAAAAGTTTTCAAAAGCTTCATTAAGCTTTCAACAGTCTCCCAATCAAGGAAAGAAGGTGCAGAACCCAAGTCAGCAGAAAAAGAAGGATCATTTTGATGATATGAGTCAAAGACACTTTGATATTGAATTGCAGTGTTGAGCATAATGTAGGTGCTGTTCCACCTTGTAGGGACATCAAGCTGCAAAGTTGATTTGGCTTCCACCCCAATGAGTTCAGCAAGCTCTCTGAACTTATTCAACCTAGCAGGTGAGTTCCTAACCCATCTCACTGCATCCCTCACCCTTTTAACTAACTCATCTACAAACCTCAAGCCATATTGAACCACTAAGTTTAAGATATGGGACATACACCTCATGTGCATATACTGCACCCTAACAGAAGAAGAACCCCAAGACAACAGCTTGCTTTTAAAAAAATCCCATAGCTGTATCATTAGAAGAAGCATTGTCCACTGTCACAGTGAACACATTTTTAATCCCCCACTCCAACAGACAACTCTCTAAGGCTTTGGCAATATACTCCCCCCTATGAGAAGAAACAGGGACAAAGGAAATTATTTTTTTTTCTGAAGCCTCCACTAGTCATCAATAAAATGTGCAGTAATGCACATATAATTAATCCTTTGGACAGAAGTCCCTGTATCAGTGGTTAAACTGACCCTTTGGGTGCCCACCCTAAACAACTTCTTAAGACTCAACCTCTCATCTAGAAAAATTTGGTAGATATCCCTAGAAATAGTCCACCTAGAAGGAATCTGAAACCTAGGACAAGTTACAAGAATAAACTTCTTGAACCCCTGACCCTCAACAAACCTAAAAGGGAGTTCATCTATGATGATCATCTCACACAATGCCCTCCTAATGGCCTCTTGATTAAAGACCCATGTCCCCAAAACCCCCACATGAGCCTCTGTAGCAGAAGTTGAAACAGTATTGAAAGCGAGAAGGGACTGCCTAGTATCCTTTGCATGAGGATTTTTAAGGCATGCCACCATATGATTTCTCAAAGATGATGTGCCATGTTTCTTAGACTCACAGACAAACACTTTCAGGCAGTAAAGGCACTTTCCTTTAACCACTACATTTTCAGTGTTTTTGATCTTTTCAAAGTGATCCCAAACTAGAGATCTAGACTCAACCACCTTCCTCTTTTTTTTGCAGGAACAACAGGAGCAACCTGAGGCTGCTGAGCAGGATTCTCAGTGCCTTGGGCTTGTCCTCGATGTCCCTCTTGAGTTGAGGGTTGAGGTCCAGAGTCAGGAAGATTGATGCTCTCCATCTAAAATGATGGGCATCAATTAAAGGTCCAACAAATACAATTACTTCAAGTACTCAGCAAAGGCAACAAGCCAACAATCACATAAACATACAAAGAAATCAAGATTCAGACACTTTTTGTGTCATCATGTATCAAGATTTCACATTTTCATATTTACATATTTACATTCAATTAAGGGTAATACATCCATAAACATACTCAAAGAATGAAAGAAATCCAGATTCAGGAATTGTATCCAATTCATCATTATCTGGATTTCAGTTAATGGCTTCCACCAATAAATGGAAATTTCAAGTTTGAAACTTGATAATTTCACATTCAAGCCTTTAACTTTTATGCAAATATTATCATTTAAATATTTAATGGCTTCCACCAATAATTCAATAAATGCAATATGGAACTTCTCAAGTATCAACAATAAAACATTATCTCAGTCCACACAATCAAACTATCAAAGTATCACAAATTATACACAAGTGACACTGTGACATGCAATCTGGAACTTTTCAACAGATCACAATATCACATTACCAATTTATCATAGTCCACAGAAATCACAATCACATAAACCCTAATCAAACTATCAAAAGTATCACAAATTAGAGACAAGTGACATGCAATCTGGAACTTCTCAACAGATTACAATATCACAGTCCACACAAATCACATCTACAAAACTAGGGTTTGTGCTTCCACCATAATAGATCACAAAATAGAACAGAACATCGCATAATCTAACACAAATATACGAATATCTGAACATGCAGAGAGAAAAGAATCAACAAATCACAAAAACAAAAACTAGGGTTTGTGCTTCCACCATAATAGATCACAAAATAGAACAGAACATAGCATAATCTAACACAAATATATGAACATCTGAACATGCAGAGAGAAAAGAATCAACAGATCACAAAAACAAAAACTATGGTTTGTGCTTTACTTGGTTTCCCCTTAATATTCCCCGGAGAACAAGGGCCTCTAATCACCAGTCCACAGTCCACCACCAACTCGAGAAGGGCTTCCACCAGTCCACCACCGGACAATCGGACAATCGAAGACTCCACAGAGTCTCAGATAGAGAAAGTAGAGAGTAGAGACTCAGAGTCTCAGACAGTCAGACTCTCAGAGAGTAGAGACTAGAAAGAGGTGAGACTGTGAGAGTGTAACACCCCGTGTTACGATCCCTAAAAACCAATTAAATCATTTAATTAATCACCTAAGAGAAAGAATTAAAGCACAACAGTTAATTAGGGAGGCCCACCATAGTCCATGGGCCCTTATCCCTAAACCCAATCCTTAGTCCCAAAAGGAATAGAATTAGCAAGCCTATAATATTAGTTCCTAACTAGGACTCCTAAATATATAAATAGGGAACATAAGGAGGCACCTAGAATCCCCACCACAATAATCCCTCACCACAATAAATGGAGGTAGACACATTTTGCTCATCAGATTGTTCTCCAACTTGTGTTTCAACTTGAGAATTTTGATTTTCTACGTGAGGATCTCCATTAGCTTCCACGTGTCCTTCACTATTGCAATCAATATCCAATTGCTCCATACCCTGTACAATTTGATCTTTAAAAGATATGTCAGTATCATTAAATGACTTTTCAACTTGACAACTTTCTTGATCATTTTTGTTGCTTTGGGTTTCCTTCTTATGAGCTTCATCAAATGTAACATGAATTGACTCTTCTACCACCATTGATTTCTTGTTCAATACTCTGAATGCTTTGCTGGTAGATGAATATCCCAAAAATATTCCTTAATCTGCACGCTCATCAAAAGTCTTTAGATATGTTTTACCATTATTAAGAATAACATATTTGATGCCAAAAGTATGAAAATAACTAAGTTTAGGTTTTCTCCGTTTCCATAATTCGTACGGAGTCTTATTGTAAGACTTGTGTATCAAGCTTCGATTTTGCGTATAGCAAGCGGTGTTGATTGCTTCAGCCCAATATCTTTTAGGTAGCTCAGCTGACGTAATCATCACTCGTGCGGCTTCTTTTAGCGTTCTATTTCTTCTTTCGGCTACACCGTTTTGTTGAGGTGTACGTGCGGCAGATAATTGATGTAGAATTCCTTGAGAGTTGCAGTAGGCTTCAATTACTTGATTTACGAACTCAGTTCCACGATCAGTTCGGATCCTTGCAATTTTCAAGTCTTTCTCGTTTTGTAGTAGCTTGAGTAATTCTGGCAAATTTTGCTCCAATTCATTTTTCTTCTTGAGAAATGTCGTCCATGTGTACCTGGAAAAATCATCAACAACAACTAGTGTATATTTCTTACCACTTAGACTTACTGGGTCTACTGGACCGAATAGATCCATGTGTAGTAGACTTAGCGGTCTTGTTGTAGATACTTGAGCTTTGGATTTGAAAGATGACTTGATTTGCTTTCCTCTTTGGCAAGCATCACATATCTGATCTTTCTTGTAGACAATGTCGGGTAGACCTTCAACGAGTTTGTTTCTTGCTAGCTTGTTGATAGTCTTGAAGTTTAGATGATTCAACTTCTTATGCCATTCCCAACTTGTTGCGTGTGAGTTGTTTGCTAGTAGGCACACTGATTCTTTGGTTGTGTTCCAATCCACAACATACATATTTTTCTTCCTTATTCCTTCGAGCACAACTTCTCCCGAGGAATTAATCTTCACTTGGCATTTATCTTTGAAGAACTCTATTAGATATCCTTTGTCACAAAATTGACTTGTACTCAACAAGTTGAATTTTAGACCTTCAACAAAGGATACATCTTTGATTTTCAAACCATTTCGAACTATTGTACCAATTCCTTTTGTTATGCCGTATCGTTCATTTCCACCGAATACAACTTTTGGTCCTTCGATATTTTTAAGATTCACAAGACTAGATTTATTTCCAGTCATGTGTCTAGAGCATCCACTATCGAAGTACCAAACTTCCTGCAAATAAATTACACATTTTTAGGTACCCAACTTGATTTGGGTCCTTGGGTGTTAGTCATTTTTGGTACCCAAATCCACCATGTACTCACTGATCTAAGTCTAGGTGATTGGTAACCATTAAACACATTATAATCATATTTAATTTTTGAAAACAATTTTTGTGCTGGTTTTTGAAAATTTACTCGATTTTTTGGCACGTGGGAGGTAGATTGTTTGAGCTTATGATAAGCATTAAATCTGGACTTAGTCCATGATTTAATATTATCAAACCAATCTTGTTTGGAGGGATAAGATCTCCCTGCCTCAATTCTTGGATTCCTTCCCATTCTCCTATGAGGGCTTTGTGCACTAGACTCATTGGTGTATTTCCATTTGGGAACAAACTTTTGTCTTTTTACATACTGTTTAGGCGAAATAATGTTTCTTTGAGGCTTCGGCCTAACAGTATTTAATTTGACATTAGTTTGGTGACCAATTCCTTGTCTCACTGTGCTTTCTTGACCTTTTACAAATTTTACTACTTGGACTTATTATTTAAAGTAGTAGTAGAATTGGCCAAGTTCTTGGAGGCTTGAGAACACGATGGATCATAACCAAGTCTGATTTTATCACTTGAGGATTTTTGCATATTTACCATTTTGTCCATTATTTTGGATGAATGTGTAAACGTTGCTATAACCTCTCTAAGGTTGTGTTCTCTCACTTCCCTTGATTTACACTCTTCTTGAAGATAAATAATTTTATCTTTCAAGTCTTTCACTTCAAGTAGAGCATTTTGCAATTTTTTATTTAATTCATCTTTTTTCACGAATTAAAAAATTATTGCGCTCTTTGAGTTGAGAGTGAGTGTCCATTACGGTTTGACATTCTTCCATTAAGTGAAAGAAGGACTCTCTAGAAAATGAAGAATTGACAGAATCATAAGAATTAGATGTTACCTCATTTTCTTCATTTCCATTTGCCATAAGACACATGTCCTCGTAGGGTGTGTTGTTGGAGATGCTCATGCAAAACATTGCATTGTCATCCTTTGAGGTGTCACTTTCATCACTTGAAGATTCTTCTGACTCACTTATCTCAAGTGGGTCACTAATAAGTGCTTTTCTTCTCTCCTTTGTGAATCTTTTATCTTTGGGCTTGAATTCTTCCTGTTGAGAGTTAGAAATATTTGTGTATTGACTTTTACTTACCTTGGGGTGTGGGCAACTCGCTGCAAAGTGTCCAGGCTTTCTACAATTGTAACACAAATTCGAGTCTTCCTCAACCATTTCTTTCTTCGAATTCTTTGTTGCATTCCACGATTTTCCTTGTGGATTTTCTTGTAGTTGCTTCTCTTCATGAATTTCCTAAATTTCTTGACAAAGAGAGCAAATTGATCGTTAGGCAATAATTCAACATTTTGTACTGACCTTGAAGTTGATGGTTGCTCGGCTACAAGCGCGTTGCTCTTTTCTTCATGATCTTCCTCTAATTTTGATTTCATCTCAAATTCATAAGCTTTTAGATCACTAAAGAGCTTATCGGTTGATAGGGTTTTTAAATCCCTATGATCTCTCATGGCCGTGACCTTCATGTCCCATGTGGATGGTAGACCACGTAGAATTTTGAGTGAGATTTCTTTTTGATTAATATCTTTTTCAAGATCATTAATCTCTCCTAAGATTTTAGCAAATCTTATTTCCATGTCGGTAATATTCTCGCCGTTTAGCATTTTGAAATCCTCGAATTTCTTTAATGCTATGGTGAGCTTATTATCCTTTTCTTGCTCATCCCATTCACCAATTTGAATGAGCGTTTCCCAAACTTCCTTTGCGGATTGACATTTTCGAACTTTTGGGAATATCGTGTCATCGATAGATTTAAACAAAATATCCTTAGCAATATTATCCAAGTTATTTCTTGTTCTATCTTCACGAGACCATTCCGCTTTTGGTTTTGGAATGTATTGTGGAGTGTCACTTGTTTGTACGGACGAAGTGTTGACTTGTAAAATCTCAATAGGACCACTCGTAACAACTTCCCACATTTCATCATGTAACGCGGATAAATGTACCTGCATGCGAATTTTCCAATCATCAAATTTTTCTAAGGAAAATAATAAGTTTTGGGCAAGAGCCATATCTCTTTTCATCATCTTGATTTTTCGAGAACTGTCTAGCAGTCAAAGTTGACTCAATTAGACAACCGCTCTGATACCAATTGTTGGTCCCGATAGGGTTGTGAAATTCTAGAGGGGGGGGGGTGAATAGTCTTTCAAGCTTTTTCAAAATAAATAATTCTTTGGTAACTTCAACTCTAAGTAACAAGTAAATAGAGTAAGTTTAAACTGCACAGCGGAATAATAGTATGTAAAGAGTTATGCCCAACCAATAATTTAAATGTGCATGTAAGATGGGTACAGATGATATTTAAAGTGACAAAGATATCTTGAATATATAAAGGAGATGGTTCACTCAATATATAATAATAATATTCAAGATTGTAAACAGATATCGTGTCACGTCGACCGGGTAACGAACGTTACATGCAACACGTCAAACTTGCTTAGAATAATTCAAAATTTAAGCTCGAGAAGTTTGAGTCACATGCATATGTGAGAACACACTAAACCCGAACGATTAAGATAGACTGTGAATAGTAAACGGGTTAGTCGGATAAGATAGATAAATAAAACATATTATGTAAGTGCGATATGTAAATGAGAGAGGCAATTTATAGTGGTTCGGAAGTGGCGTAATCTTCCTAATCCACTTTACTCCATTCACTTCTAGGAGTAATTCACTATTTTCCACACACAGTTACAATAGTGAATAGCGCTACACAAGCACTTCTTCCGGATGTCTTGCACACAGCTACACCCAACTCCGAGTGTCTCGCACACAGCTACACCCAACTCCGAGTGTCTCGCACATAGCTACACTCAACTCCGAGTATTTCGCACACAGCTATACTCAACTCCGAGTATTTCGCACACAGCTATACTCAACGCCAACTAAGTGTCTTGCACACAGCTACACTTAGCAACTACGAGTGTTTTGCACACAGCTACACTTAGCAACTACAAGTGTTTTGCACACAGCTACACTCCCTAGAGTATTTTGCACACAGCTATACTCTTTTTACAATTACAAATACAAAGGTAATTGTATCTCTCTCCAACTAGATTTGAGACTATTCAGACTAAGTCTCTAAGAATATCTGAACACTTGCACTTTTGAATTTTGCACTTTGTTTATCCGTGTTTATTGCACCTCTATCTCTTCTGTTGTCTTCAAGTCTTCATGGCTTTTTATAGGCAATCAAATATATCCGTTGGAGTGGGATAATTTGATATTTGAGATTTGAATCTTCATAGCCTGATATTGTTGACAATAGTAGATCTTCAATTTTGATTTGATTGTCAACTTGTCTGACAAAATAATATTTTATCTCAACTTGATTTTCAAGTTATTTCTTAGAATATTATTTTTGTTGTCAATTTGAATATCCAACGAATCTTTGAAATAAATTCATCTGATAGAATTTATTTCTAGGATAAGTTTTTATATATTCATGTCTTCATAAATATTTTTTCGTTCTGATCAAATATCTTCAGGCAATTTTGGACTCTTGTGGCATGTAGGCTGATCCAAAATAAATTCCTTCGAATTTATTTATTTTATGAACATCTTGCTTCTGTGCCACATTGTGCTCCTTTGACTTGGGCACTTCTTGCTTGTTTGACTTGAACATTGTGTTCTTTCTAATTTGGTCACATTGTGCTCTTTCTAATTTGGTCACATTGTGCTCCTTTGAACACATTGTGCTCCTTTGAACACATTGTGTCTTTTAGAACATTGTGCTCCTTTTCAGACATTGTGCTTGTCTGCATCGTTCTCCTTTAAGAATATTGTGCTCCTTTAAGAACATTGTGCCTTGTCCGAAAACTTGATATGTAAAAAATAAATCCTTGGGGGGAATTGATCTCAAATGTGATCATTTTGAATAAAGACTTCTACCATTTCGCTGTTAGGCTCATCCAATCATTTCTTGCAACGCCATTCTTCTATGCTTCTTTCTCGGATGAATACTCGTAGGACCAAAATTAATTTCCCAAATTGATTTTGTTCTTCCTATGGTAGATTCCTTTTGACTCGATATTCTGATTTATGATGCTTGTACTAAAAGACCTAAAAACCAAGGGGATCTAAAGTACATTTGGCTCATCAAAACTTACAAAAATATTCATATCATCCTCCATTATTGATTTGTTCTCGAAGGTCACCGGGCCTCCCGTTATTGAGCTGCTCTCGGAGGTCCCCTCCATGATTGTTGGTGAGTTGGTCTCGGAGGTTACCTGAGGCATTGTTGTTGTTCAAGTTGCGGGAACCGTGGGAGCTGTCGGACACCATTCTTTCAAGCTTGCCGGACACCATTCTTTCAAGCTTGCCGGACACCAAGAGCTGCGAGAATGAGTTGTGTGTGTTGTCGCCTGCTTGAGTGTTGGACCAGGCTCTCAATGAAAGCACCAATGACGGTAAATATGTTACCGGAAATATAATATTAGAATAATGGATCGTTGTATTGAAAGTGTTTGAGTACAAAATAGTGAGTGTGTCTTAGTACAGAGTATTGAGCCTATCTCCCTAGCTGAGGAGAGGTCCTTTTTATATCAAGTCCTAACGGTAATGTCATGATGAGAAATAATGAGGAGCCATTATTTCTTTCTCTTCAATGACACAGTAAATGTCCATGTGGTAATGTTCCATCCATTAGTAATCTGCCCGTTGGGTTTCCGTGTGGTGCCGGGTCAGGTACCCGTTTGACAACTCAGGTCGGGTGCTGGCACCATTACTCTGTCAACTGGAAATTGTTTCCTTTGAAATTTAAAAGGAAGTCTTGGGTCTGAAGGAGTAAATACCAACCGTGAGATCAGAACATTTGTACCTGCATTGTTTCCACATAGAATTTGTGCTTCAATCACATGGTTTCCTAATTTTGAGACGATCAAACCGTGTGTCATTAAAGAGCCAATGAGTGGTCTATATTCCTCAAAATCATAACTGGAGATCCAACCTTTAATGTTAAAGAATGGTTTGGTACACCTGAACACCTCAAATTGTTAAGAAATTTGGTAGTGTGAGCTTCATATAACATATCAACATTTGTATCCAACTTGCACACAAAATCACAACTCAAATACGTCTTAGACGATGCTTTATTCATACCGATCATGTATTCATTAACATAGTCGACAACATCTAATGTTAGAGCCAATATAGCTCTAGTCTCAAGATGTTTAGGATCCATGTTACCACAACGGTACAAAGAAAATATGCTAAACATAGACCACAGTGTGGCCAATCACCGGATACACAAGAGAAAGCCGAAAACATAAATAAATATAGACCACGGTGTGACCATTCACCGGATGCACAAGGGAAAGCCAAAAGTTGTAGGAAAATAAATAGATAAAGATCTTACCTCACCAAAGATTTGTCCACGTCGATAAACAAACCTCGAATCAAACTAATCACCTACAAGTTTTATTTGTAAATTAATATACTAAATGGATATTAATTCATAGCAATACCATTTCAAACATTCTCAAAATAATTTACAATTCACTAAAATACTAAACCAACCTAAATATAATAATATATTTAAAATAATTTTCAAAACTTGATAAATTCAAAATAAATTATCAATGATTTGAAATATAATAACAATAATTCCTAAAATACACAATAATTCCTAAAATTCAAAATATATTAACATTAATTCATAAAATTTGAAATAAATTATCAATAATTCAAAATATAATAACAACAATTCTTAAAAATCAAAATATTATAACATTAATTCCTAAAATTCAAAATAAATTATCAGTAATTCAAAATATGATAACAATAATTCCTAAAATACACAATAATGCCTAAAATTTAAAATGTATACATTAATTCTTAAATTTTGAAATAAATTAATAATAATTCGAAATATAATATCAATAAATATTAAAATACACAATAATTTATAAACATCAAAATATATTAATATTAATTCCTAAAATTTGAAATAAATTAACAATAATTCAAAATATAATAACAATAATTCCTAAAGTACACAATAATTCTTAAAATTCAAAATATATTAACATTAATTTAAAAAATTTGAAATATAATAACAATAATTCCTAAAATTCAAAATATATTTACATTAATTCCTAAAATTTGAAATAAATTAACTATAATTCAATATATAATAACAATAATTCCTAACATACACAATATATATATATATATATATATATATATATATATATATATATATATATATTGTAATTTTGCATTTCCTCAATTTAAGGATATTAATAGGATTAAATGACCGATGGATTAGACTGACAGAATCGACGATGATATCAGTCAGTTAGATAGATAGCTGATTTGATTGCAGAAAGAGTAAACTAAGGCAGACAGCAAAAACCAACACACAAGATGTTTACCCAGTTCGATACAGTGTGTATCTACATCTGGGGGACGATCACAGAAGCGTCCAATCCACTAACTCATAATCCAATGTACAAAGGTAGAGAAATAACAATCTCACCCAAGTGCCCCACACAAGGTACGTACGCAGTCTACACAGGTTTAGTGGATTGTTGAAGTTGGAGAGCCATGCATACAGAAGTCCAATGAAATCCCTTCACTTGGAGAGCTAACTCTGATGCAATCCACTTCAGTGATGCATCCCAAAGTTGTTCCCACAACTGTGTGATCTTAGCGTCCTTTTCATTTAAGCAACGGTATCTCTTCTCAAGTTCTTCATCATAATCAACAAGAACAAATTGTCTTGAGAAGAGGCATGATAATCAAAGATGTGGTCTCTTAGTATATGTCGGAGTGTTTCTTTCTTCTCAAAAGCGTAACCCTAATTCTTGATCGAATAAGAGTACTTATAGTTCCATAATAAGAACACTCTCCATATATATCTCTGATTGTAGATGGTAGGACGATATAAGAGGAATGTAATCTTAAAGATCCGGTCCATACCTTTCCAAGACAGATACACTGATCTTCTTTCTAAAACTGACTTCTTAAACCGCGTTCTGCAAAAAAGAAACATCTTCTTAATACAGATCTTCAGTGTCAGTACGTCTGGTGCTGTATTTGATCAATCAATCTTCTGTAACACAAACCGACACCAAGCTAACCTTATTTTAGATTGCCATAATAATAATGCCAATTATATGTTGGGGGGTTTTTGAGCAATTAAAACACTAACAAACTCCCCCTTTGGCTATTATTTGACAAAACAACTCGACTGCTTATAAAAACACAAACTAGATAGGACTAAGATAGTAATTGCATAAAAAACCAAATATCTGATTACAAAGCATAACAAAAAGACAGCAGACAAACTATGCTGAACCAAAACAACATTCTTCATACGAGAGGTGCCATCACAATCAGACGCCCAGACAGGGCTAGAAGGTACAAAAAACATCAAAATACTCCCCCTGAGTTCCACACTCCCCCTTTTTGCCAATGATAGTCAAAGCACGGCCAAGCATTGGAGGGGTTCTCACTGTCAAACTTAGCAGCATCAGTTGCAGCAGATTTAGTCAAGCTCAAGCGGAGAAGAACGGTAGCCAATTCAGTACGAGCCCCTGTCAGCTGCTTCGCAATGATTCCATGAACAGTCTCAAGTTCAGATACCCGGGCCTTTAGACGAAGAGAGAGTTGGACATCTTTCGCATGTGGTGAATCATCAGCCATTGTATCAGCATCAGAAGTGGAAGGAGCAATCACCGGCGTAACGTCTCGGATGTGACCTCCAGTCAGAAGATGAGGATCAACAGTATAAAGAAGAGTCAGACTGATCACCTCACTAGGCATTGGCTCAAGGCCCTGCGATGTTAGAACTCCAAATATCATATTAGGGAATGGCAATCGTACCTTCTGCTCTCGAGGATGGATCAAAGTGAGGATATGATAATAGAACCAGGAACCCAGATCAATATACATTTTTGTCCCAATACGAAACAAGAAAGCTGCCAATTGCTTGCCGACCGTATAAAAGTGAGCCGATGGAAGCCAGTTGTGAAGTGCAAGATGGTGGAAGATGACATATTTGGAGGTGAGCTGTAAGCTAGGCAGAGTATCTTTGTCACCCGTAGGATCAGTTTGTCCACCTGTGAGGGTCTTTGCCACCAAATCCCAGTCTGTGATTTCTTCCTCGTGAACACCTTTCAAACCATAGTACTCATTTATCATGTCAGGGCCAAAGACATACCATTTACCTCAAATGAAGATTTGCATTGGTCGCGTCCCGATCAAATTGTCAATCTCCTCATTAAGATTACAGTAGAACTCAGCAAGGGCAAGATGTCGCAAACAGAGTTCAAATGGTGTTCATCAACAGACCGCTGAACAATAAGATCTCTCCGGATCATTGTGACACCCCGAAATCCACATTCAATTAATGGATTAATTGAGTAATTAATCCTATTTCAATTGGTGAATTAATTCCTAAAATCCTGAAAATTCAATACTTGGAGACTACTAATTAACTAGTCAACCCCAAAGTCTAAGTTGTGCATTGAGCTTTGTAAGGAGTTCCCTTGTTCTTTACACTTCCTTATGTTAGTAACGGTATTCTTGACCTTTCACTTGTTGTTGGTAATGTAACCTAACCTAGTAGACCACCTTCATTCCCTCCTTACACTTTTTTAAAAATCTAGCTCCACCATCTCTCTAAAAGGTGAGTAGCTTTTCTTCCAAGCCAAGTTGGAACCTTGCCAAAACTTCAAGAGTTGCTTCCAAGATTCAACCTTTCTTATATTTGGGCATCTAGGAGGGTAAGATTTAAGTTCATCTTGTGTTTTTGGTTTTATCTAAGGTGTCTTTTCTTAAAGATAAAATCTTTATGATCTTTTGGTGTGTTCTTGAAGTGGGTTTGGAAGGTGAGCCTAGTGAGGAGCTTGTTGAGGTGAAAAGTGAAGTCTTTAGTCTACAAGAGGTAACCCATGCTTTACAAAATCTATTTTGCTTACCTATGTGAATATTTCTTGGATTCTACATGTGATTTTGCTATGAAATGTGAGTGTTGATGCATGATCTTGTGAAAATGCATATCTAGAGCTTGTGTTTAGGGTTCATTTGTGCCATTGCTTGGAATTTCCTTTGATTCAAGTCATTTTGTTGTATTTGGTGAGATTTGACATGTTTTGGACTTGAATTTGAGTTTGGAGGTGAAAATCCGCGAAGTGTATTATTGTGGTACATGGATGTACCCGCGGGCGGAACGGCGGGTAGGCGTCTAACCTGCCGCCTACCCGCGGGGTACATTGGTCGGGCAGCCTGTTCCCGCGGGCGAAACCGCGGGTAGAGGCCTACCCGTGGGCCTACCCGCGGGTACGTATTGTGATGTTGATGGGGATTTGTTCCCCGTGATTCTTTTGACTCGGTATTTGGTCTTTTGACTTCCCGATGTTCTTTTGTGGAACCATTTGAGTGTCTTCTTGATGTTTCGTATGTCTAGAACTATATGGTAGGTATCCGTGTAGGTTTTGGTGTCTTGAATCGTGCTAAGTGTTCAACATTGTGTTTCGTTGAACCGTGATGAGTCTTGTGTGTTCTTCGGAACTACCTTTGGTTTACCCGTTTGATAAGCATGCTAGTTTGGTGTTTAAATGCTAGCATGTGTGTTGTTTGTACCTTCTTATAGGTTGATGATAACTTGTGTTATTCATCGTTGTTGTTGTTGGACTGTGATCCATTCCTTGATTGAGTATGGTTTCATATCTTCGTTGTGATCTGTTGATTGATTCCTGTTGAGGTGTGATGTGTGCGTGGCTTTACCTGGATTGCACGATTAGTGGTATGGGACACTAGTCACCAAGGTATTGCAGCGGTCCTCGTGGTGGCCGTGACGTGATTATGGAGTTTGTGACCTTTGTGTAAGGTTCACGTATTTCTTGGGAGGCATGTGTTGACGTGTGTGTGTACGGTACCCTCGTGTACTATGAAATTGGTGGTCTCGTTGGCGGATGGGGACGACGGTCCTCGGAGGGAAAAGGTTAGACTTGGTTGTACAGGGGTCCTGGAGGTAATGGTTGGAAGAAGAAATAAGGTTGGGGGTAGCCATAAGGTTGGAATCGGGCATAAGGAAGGCATATCAACTCGTGATGGGTGATGTCACGAGGGCTTGTGTAGCCGTTGTAGTGAGTTCTTCTCTTGTGACGTGTGTAGTCACAAAGGCATGTGTTGTCTTGGCATGTATTGCCGTTGAGTGTGTCCTATTCCTTTGAGTTATGCATGTCGGGTTTGATCTATTGTGTGATGATGGATCATACCTTGAGACTTCTTGTGAGTCGTGTTGTTCTTTGTGGTCTCGGGATGTGTTCCCGTGTTGTTGTTGAGAGTGTTGAGTCTTGTGTTGACTATTGCTCTTGGTTTTGTACTTATATACTTATGTATTCCGTTTTGAAAATGGCTTTACAACCTATATCATATCTATGTATGTTATTTCGAATGTATTGGTGGGTTACCAGCATTATTCGCTGACCGGGCGTCGTCCCATATTTTATTGTGTTCTTTCAGGTGATGTCTAGGCGAGTGCGCAGTCTAGTGCTTGCTAGTGTAGCTTCTCCCGCTTGTTTTATGGCCTGTGTGCCAGTTTAGTTGTAGACCTTTGAGACTATGGATTAGTTGTAAACAATGCAGATATTGGCCGTAGCGTTCATCCTTTTTGGTGAACGTGGCATAACACCCCGTGATTTGGATTTATGTTCATCCAGCTATCTTTCAGTCTTCCGCTATGTTTGTTGTTTAGTTCAGTTATCTGCATGTTTAAGGCTTTTAAATAGCTTGTTTTTAGGTGGTGTTACAGTTGGTACCAGAGCCTAGGTTTGAGCCTAGGATGGAGTTAAGTCTAGACTTACTAAGTGGCTATGTGTGGTTTGAGACCTTTAAGTGACCTTAAGAATCTAAGTGTTAGACTTAGGACTCTAGGTTGCACGGTGAGCTGAGTGTTGCTTTCTGTTCTTTGCTTGTTTGCTATCTTTTGGTAACCGTGTTGTTGTTGTAGAAGTTTGCGATGCCTCCTCGTCCTCGAGCTCGCACCCCGGAGACCCCAACAAACGAGCAGCTCGCTCAGAATCTCCACCAGTTGACGCAGACAATGCAGATGCTCAGTGAAGCCTTGCTGAACAACAACCACGTTGTGCCGCCTCCTCAACCTGCTGGGCACCGCGATATAGGTCGCCTGGTGTCGGGACATAGACCGCCAACCTTCGCGGGTGAGGAAGACCCGGTGGTTTTGGAAGAATGGATGAGGGTGTTCGACAAGATCTTCACAGTTGTGGGTTGCCCCGAAGAGAGAAGAGTAGAACTGGCAACGTTCTACTTCTGCCAAGAAGCTGATCTGTTGTGGGTCCATGAGGGTCCGACCCTCCTTGAAGAGCCTGAGTTTGGTTGGTCCGCGCTGAAGGATAGGATGCGCGAGAGGTTTTACCCAGTGCATGTGCGAGCCGCCATGTTTGATGAGTTCCTTCACCTGCAACAAGGATCACCGTCTGTGGTCGAGTACCACAAGAAGTTTTTGGAGTTGGCGCGCTTTGCTCGGGTGCTTGTGCCTACGGAGCATGCTAAGGTTGAGAGATTCGTTGCCGGTCTGAATTATGAGGCACGAAAAACGTTGACGGTAAGTAGGCCAAGTTCCCTTAAGGATGCGTATTTGAGCGCCGCGGATCTGTATCGCGTTCAGCAGCTTCAGAAAGGATCTTACGAGCTAGCCAGGAAGAGAGTTGAGAGCGGAGGTTCTTCTACCTTCAAGAAGCCACGACTGGGTTTTCAGGCCAAGAACGTGTCATCTTCATCTCAAGGACCAATCAGGATAGAGCATCGGGATCAAGCCAAGACGGTTGTTTGCCGTAGATGCGGGAAGGTGCACGCAGGCCAAGATTGCAATGGCCAAGCGTTCCGGTGCTACCGATGCGGAGAACGTGGTCACAAAGTCGCGGAGTGTCCCAAGCAAGCCGGTCAGAGAGCGTTGCCGCCACACCCGGGAGCCGAGGAGCATCGGGAGGTAGTTCGGGTCGTGGAGCAGTTGGAGCTAGGCCACTTGGGAGGGTCTTCGTGATGGCACGTTCGCAGGCAGAGTCTGAGGGTTTGATGGAGGAGGAGTTGGCAGGTAATCCTTTCCCCTAGCCTATCCTTGTTTTTCGCGAGTATCGTGTTCTTTGTTGTCTTGTGTGTTATCTTGTGTTTCGTCGTTGTCTATTTGAGTTACTTGGCAATCCTTTTCATGCTTTTCTTTGGTAATGATTCTTTTGGAGTTAGGTGTAAGCTCTTCTTGTTAAGTGACTCCCTTAGTTTTGCGAATAAGTTTCGTTGTGAAGTTAGCTATCCATCTTTGGAGCGAATCGTGTTTGGGTTAATCCTACAATCCTTACACTTAGTTGTCCTTGCAACCTTTCCTTTGTGAACCCTCTAAATTTCCCAAGTATTCTTTGAAATTGGAAATAGCAAATCCATACCAAAAATCCTTTCTTGTGTAGCTTAAAAGTCAAGCAAAATGTTTAATTGTAACCCTTGAATTTCTAACCCGAGCCTATTTTTTGCCAACCCAACCTCTAAACCACTTGAGCTAATTATCTTCCTTAGAACTTACCCAATTTTAATTCTATCTAACCCATAAATTCCCACTTTGCCCAAATCCCCAAATTAAATCATCTTTTCCCCAATTTTTTCCACAATCCCTAATTTCCCAAATTTCTTCCCTTCTTCTTCTACCCTACCCGTGAACCACCGAGCACCCACCCCCACCCGTCGCCACTAGCAATCCGCCACCCCACCACCGACGCAGCAGCCTGCCGACGCACCGCCGCCGCCGTTCACCGTCTGCCGGAGCTTCGCCGCCGTTCTGCTTCGTTGCCGCGACGCCGAGAGAGCAGCGGGAGATCGAGAGGCAGCGAGAAGAAAGAAAGAAGAAGAAAAAGAGGAGAAAAAGTGTTGGGTCCTTTGTTTGTTGAGCTTTGGGTCATCTTCTACCATGCCTAGAAGGTCAAGCTTAGCTAGAAAAGCGGAATGGGTGGATAGCCACTACCTTGTTCTTGAAGGTAAAGCCTTTGATCCGGAATCTTTTCCTAATTCTTTGTTGGATACGCTTAGATTCCAGGGTTTGTTGGATGGGTTTCTCGCCATAAGGGCCGAGACTTACCCGAGTTTGGTTAAGGAATTTTATCGTTACATGGTTGTGACAAAGGAGGGTGATAAGCTTGAGATCACTTCTAAAGTGAGAGGTGTGGAGGTTGTGTTATCTGAAAAGAGGCTGGCTAACCTTTTGAGTTTAACTGCTTTAGGAGTTGCTCATTATAGTGGTAATTCTTGGATTAGTACGGATACCATGGGGTACCAGGACTATTTGAGTTATCTGTTGGGCCGTACAAGTGGTTTCACTCAAGCTTCAAGGCCGGAGAAAAAGTGGTTGTCCGCGGAGCAACGGATTTTGGTTATGTTGGTGTCGGATTGTTTGTTGCCTAATAACAACAAAAGCAAGTTGTTGGGAAAGTTGGAGTGCACTTTTGCCATCTGCCTCAAGAATATGGTTAAGTTCAACTTGCCAGCGTTGATGTTGCAGCATATGGTTTTCTGTCGGGATCATAACCGGAAAAGTCTACCGTACGGGATGGTGTTGAGCTGGATTTTGGTTAGAAAGGGTGTAAGCGTGGATGGTTGTCTTCCGAAGGCCGTGGGAAAGTTGGTGTTGGATGCCACCAATCTTCGGAGTTGTAATCTGTTTCAGTAGGATGATGGTGAGTACATCACGCTTGAAGAACTTGCAAGGAAAGCCCCTGAAGAGAGAGCCGAGTTGGCAACGGAGCTTGGGATCCATGCCGGGAAGTTGAGCCTCGCAGTCCAGAGTTTGGGTGGTGACGAAGAAGTTGAGGAGGAAGCAGGCCAAGAAGAAGAAGTAGAAGC